ATATATATATATATATATCCCATGATCATCATGAATTTCAAGTCCACACATTTGAATTGAAAAGCTTACCTTCCACGTGACGTGCACTCACCGTTAATACTGAACCATTTTCACACACAGATTCCTCCAATAATGTCAATATATATATATATATATATATATATATATATATATCCCATGATCATCATGAATTTCAAGTCCACACATTTGAATTGAAAAGCTTACCTTCCACGTGACGTGCACTCACCGTTAATACTGAACCATTTTCACACACAGATTCCTCCAATAAACATAACATATATCATTTTTTATTTTTATTTTTATTTACTTATTGTTAAGAAAACATTACAACATTTACAAATCAGTCGTATAAATACGTCATGTTATGCCCATTCCAATTCCACACTCGTCAAGTACTACTAATTTCCTTGTTTTTCTCCTCAAACAAACATTATCGTAACTGCTCTGTCTCTAATAATATGATCAGAATTACGAGGATAATGGCAAAACTATTCCCATTATGGCTCGTAATTTTGTTCTACTTTTCAAGATTAGCCCGCTCTTCGCCTCTAGCACCGGCATTGTACGTTTTTGGAGATTCTTTGTTTGATAGCGGGAACAACAATCTTTTGCCAACTCTTGCAAAGGCAGATTATTTGCCGTACGGTGTAAACTTTGACCAAGGGGTCACCGGAAGATTCACCAATGGAAAAACTGTCGCCGATTTCATAGGTACGTATAATATACATATACTCTTTTTAACATTTATATATAATGATATATATAGATATGTACACAATGATGTTATTATATGCGTGTTCTTTGTTAATCTTTTGATCTGATTTCTTTTTCTTTATGAATCTTTGTATGAAAAAGCTGATTATCTTGGGCTACCAAATCCGCCTCCGTACCTGAGTATTAGAGGATCGGCAGCGGTTACTGGATTAAATTATGCATCTGGATCTTGTGGCATTCTTCCAGAAACTGGCAGCCAATATGTAAGATCAATATATATATATATATATATATATATAGACGTATGATGTATGCATGTATAATTAGTATGTCTAGCGCTTAATACGTTTCTTTGTTAATTTCTTTTTCTTCTTTGCTTCTTGAATAGCTGAATATCATATTATATCTGTGTTTGGAGTTTAGATCAGGTTTTTGATGCATTTATTTATATAATGAAAATTTATTACATTTTTACATGATTATGATCAATAATCTAATCTAATTCTAAGAAGTAATGTATCTTGGAAAAGATATTGCATGATTCGAAAAAATAATAACAGATTTATTAATGGTTGGCAGGGAAAATGCTTGAATATGAAAGATCAGATAGATTTGTTTGAAATTACTACAACTTATAATACGTCAGAGTTGCGGAGATACTTTAAAAATCCCCAGGATTTTTCTCACTACCTCTCAAAATCTATATTTATTTTTTCTGTTGGCAATAATGATTACATAAATAATTACTTGGAACGACAATTTTCCATACGGAAAAACTACTCTCCTCGATCATTTGCGCAACTCCTGGTGGATGAACTGGCTCAGCATTTTCAGGTATAATATTTTCATGTACTCTTTAATTATTAGTTCATAATATTCTTTTTAATTTTTTATGACGAAACTTGCACGACTTATTTCCACTCGTATATTATTGTCATTTTAGTCATGATATTGCCAAATTTGAGTTCAAATGTCCACCAGAGTCTGAGAAGTGAATAAAAAGATTCTTTAGACTACATATATACAAAATGAAATATTGCATGTTTGGGAGCATCATCATATTGAGAATCATAACTAATAAAAAGCGAGCCTCATTTATAGCATGAAATTCACTTTTTATTAGTGTGTGGTGTTAAAAAACAAGCGATGCTTCTAACTAGCACTGCTTAATGCAAAATATACAAATTACAATGTTAGAAAATATCGGTTCGATAGTGTTATAAAACACTATACATTAATAGAAAGTGTTCCCACAACAAGAAATCTATAAATATAGTCCATTTTCATGTTTCTAAGCATTTTTCAAAATGTAATATTACATGCAGAGGAATGACTACAATGTATGGATGGAACTGTTAGTAGTGTTCCATCAGCATTATTTTTCTTATATAAATTGAAGAGATACGCATACGGCCAGTTACTACTTTTTATATTTAAAATCAGCACATTAACTTTTTTTCATTATTTTCTATGATTAATATCTATCTGATTCTTCGAATATTGTTTTTTTTTTTTTCAGAGGTTATACAAATTAGGAGCGAGGAAGGTAATAATGTTTGAATTAGGCCCACTTGGGTGCCTCCCATCAATAACAAGGAAACGAAATCATGGAACCAAATGTGTGGAAGAAATAAATCAGTTAGCTTCGTATTTCAATGAAAGACTTCCTCCAATGCTTAATAATCTAACATCTACTCTCCAAGGCTCAACCTTCGTTCTTGGTCATGCAAATTGGCTCGCTTACGACGCAATACAAAATCCTACCAAATATGGTAAATCTAATTTAACTTATTTATCATGATATTAGTTAATATATATATATATACATATATACCAAAACAGCAGCATTTATATATAGTACTAATTACTTCGATTTTTTGTATGTGATAATGTACAGCCTTAATGGATGCAAGAAATCCATGTTGCACCACTTGGTTAAACGGGACTTCTGGGTGTATTCCGTTTCTAACGCCTTGCGATGGAACGAACAATCACTTCTTCTGGGACGCTTATCATCTTACTGAGTCTGCTTGTTCAGTCATAGCAAGTGGATGTTTCAATGATTCATCGGTGTGTTCCCCATTCATTAAGCAACTTGTAGAAATTTGAATGTAATTTAGTTTGGATACACCAAAAAAAAAAAAAAAATTATAAATCAAATTAAGGTTTACATTGCAAGATGTATTCTTTGATATGTATTCGAAATCATTGATAGCTTTGCCAAATCACTTCACTAAATTATGCTGATGTACATCTCTCTTTTTGTTTATCTCTTAATCTTTAGTAGTTGTTCAATTTGTATAATATTTTACTTGAAAGAAAAGCAGTAAAACTTCATATTACCAAAAAAAAAAAAAAAGGACACAGAGATTTAATGTACAGCCCTTACAGGTGTTTTACTTCCTAAAAAGTGTCATGTTGAAGAAACAAACAAACATACTATTACCCGATCAAGGTAACCAAAAAAAAAAAAAAAAAGAAGCAAAATAGAACAAAAACCGTTGTTATTATACGTATATATATGTCCTGTGTATAGACCAATTTGACTTTGGCCTATATTGGTAGGCAAAATTGTGAGTCTCTAGCTAAACAGTTAATTGTAGATTGAGAAGTACTCAATGAGATGGCTCGTGATTGTTAATGGGTGGCTTGCGACGACCCATTCCCTTGTAATCTTTATGCATCAGACTCACTATCTCTTTGGCTGCTTCAAGAAGCCTTCTAGTTTCATCATTCAAAATAACACTACTAGTACTACTTTGCTGATGATCAGAAGTACTTTCATCGTGATGTTGTTGATGATCATCATGATCAGTACTTTCTTGGATGGCTCCTTCCTGTGCAAAAGCAATTAGCTAGATACAATCAATATAAAGAAATATAATAATTAACTTCCTAATAATGTTGAGTGTGTTACTATATGCAAACCATAAGGAAATTAATTCCCTAAATATGATTCCAACCTTGCATATTCACTAAACAAATAGTGGGAATTTCCATGACAAGATTCCTCTATAGCTAACTAGCTAGCCTACTAAGCACATATATATAGGTGGTGTGTGTATACATATACATATATTTATTGGGTGTGTGTGTATTACACACACATATATAGAGAGAGAGAGAGAAACCTGAGAGTTCGAACTTTCTTGAGAACTCCCTAGAGAATTTGAAGCTTTCATATCCTCTGATCCTGCAATCAGATGACATGTATATGATCTGAAAGCTGAACTATATATAGTGTTAACTTTTCTTAAGAAAAAAACAACTCGAAAATTCTCCAAAGTTACAGAATATTCAGCATACATATGCACCAAAAAGAAATACAAGAGCTCGATTCGAACATCTAAATTTTACATTCGTACATCCATTATATGGATATTTCTACCAAAAAACCATTATATAGATATATAATGTTTACATATTTGATCAACTAGAGCACCCTATATATGATACACACATGGCACAATTAGCAAAAAGTTCTATCTTTGAAAACTTCCCAAAAATGCTTTTTTTCTTTTTCGCTCAATTATGTATAGGAGGGTGGCGTCTAGGTGCATGATAATCAGCACTGAAAGCTACAAATAAACCGCCCATTTTCATAGCACTAGTACTAAGATGATCGCTTTTATCTCCAAGTTTACTTTTTACATTTACACCCCCTTTTCCATCAGAAGGAGTTGCACCTGAAATCTTTGACATCCCAGCTCCATTATTCATTTTTGGCCCTTCTCCCACAATCTCTTTCTTTAATGCCCCCATGAGTTTCCTTCCTCCAGTCAGTGTAGCAAGCCCAATATCCTTATCTGCAAAAAAAAAAAATAAACAAAACATTATTTCAACTAAATTATTATGAATCTATGGTATAAATGAGAGAGAAACTAAAGCTATATAAATCAATAGCATGTTTACCTTGTTCATGGGCATGTGCAGAGGAGCCCATTAGGCCATGCATGACAAAGAGAAGCCCTAAAAAGAAGCTGATGATCATTGTGAACCTTTTGTGCACCATAGTTGTGAATTTTGTCTCTTGCTAGTGTTATATTAGAAAGAAAGTAAGGGTAATATTCTTGTTGTTCAACAACAAAAGAGGGGAGATCAAGGAGAGCATAATGTGGGGTTTTATAAGAGTGTTTCAAAACCCAAGTCAAACCTAGGGTTAAGGTACACCTGACAAAATTAATAATTTTTTTTTCTGGCTTAACAGAGCTTAGGAGAACTCAAAAGTTTAAATTATTAAGAAAAAGAGAGAAAAAAAAAAACTGTGCACACTGTCCTACTAGTTCTAATTTATTCGCAAAAGTTTGAATGTTTGGTTTCATAAGTTGAACTATATGGAAAGGTTATAAGGTTTAGTAAAATACATTTTGTATTAATTTAGATAGAAAACAAAGGTGTTTTGCTAAATATGACTGCTGCCATGCATGCAACGAGGTAATTAAATATATAATTTATGATGACTCATCACTGTATTAAGGATTCGGTGAACTATCTAGGCTTTCTTCACTGATATATTTTATCATCTATATTGAAAATAAATAATATCTGTGTGTGTGTGTGTGTGTATATATATATATATATATATATATATATATCAAAGTTAAGTAGGACCACAAAAGAAGCCTTCTACTAAACTTTACTAGCCGCTTTTCTTTTTCACAATTTCATAATGTGGCATTTTTATCAAGTCTAAATAATTAACGAGGCTAGCTAGTAGGCTACTAGACCTTATAGCCATCTGTGGGCGTGCCTTTTTCTAATAGATCTTTTTTTATTATTTTTTTGTAGAAGACCAAACAGCTAGAAGAAACATTTAACTATTTAAGTATTAGTGTAGAGTAATAGTTCTTCATTGGCGTTTTGCAATTTAGTAGGTACGGTGGGTATTAATGTCTGATGTTGATATGGAAATCATGCTTTTGAGCTTGATCAAGTTTATCAATATATATAGTCAGATATTAGCTGGTACTTATTTCATTAAGAAATCAAATAAACTAACTTAGTGATTGTGGCAAGGGTCAATATCTCAATCCCCACAACGGTCCGAGTCAGAGATTCGCTTCTGATCTGCTTTGAACATATATTGGTGAAAAAAATAATAACAATGAATAAATAATGAAGAATGTAGCAAATTGAACGAAGCATTAATTGCCTTCCATTGGATACTCTAGAGATTGACTTTAAGTAACATTTTTCTTTGTTTTACTTGGCAGTTGAATCCTTTTTCTCCAGGAAACAAACATGTTTCAATATCTAAATATAGCTAGCTGCTGTATATATAGATGCATGATGTACACAAGATAAAACTATAGTAATTAGTTATTTTAATTCCCTTTAGGATAATTATTTGTACTTGTTTTAGAGTTTCATATTGGAAACAAACAGTTACAGAAAATTAAGGAAAAATCATGTATTTGAAAGCACCAAATTATGACAATTTCCCGTAATAATAATATTCTTTAATTAATTGAAGAGAGAAAATTTGGTGATTAGCTAGCAGCATAGTTCCCAAGGGCAAAGCATGAGCATCTTAAGGCATAAAATTAAGAGCCTGCAGAACATTGACAAGTGTTGGAGACCTAGAATTTCTCAACAATTTCACCTTTTAACAAAATTAACATTATTATATATTAAACAAATTAATTAGGAATAGTTTTAGTTTAGATTTTAGAACACGAGGGCGTGACCTCCAACTTTGTGCTAGTGGCTTCTCCTTGAGAACAGTGTGTGTTTTGTTTTACCAATTAGTCGGTTCAACATAGGCCAACGGGACTCATTTTTATAATTGCCTAAAATATTAACCGACACCACCTTCTACTACGTAACTACAAGTTATTGAAAGTTTGTTACAGAGATGCATTCTTATTATTACAAGTTAGTAGAACGCATGTGTCAAACAATAAATATTAAAAATGATAAAAAAAAAATTGACAGAAAAAAATAAGATTATAGCATTTCTCTTAAAATTTATATCATTTCAACTACTTAACGTACCATTATCACTCCCAAAAGAGGGGGAGGGGCAGTAAGAAAAACAGTGTCGAATATCATCATTTCATTATAGCGTTGGATATGTCGTGACAATTGCCATGATATTCTGTAGAGTCTCTACAATCAACTTTTGTACTACGTAACTAATAGTACTGATGTTTAATATTGCAGATGGCAATATTGTATCACTATATATTATTACTATAGTATCCATTAACTCCCATTAAAAGTTATCTATTTCTTCTGTAAAAAAAAATGATAATAATAAGAGACAGAAAGAAAAAATGCTTAATTTTCCATGACCAAATGATCGTGTTGGATAACTCAGGTTTCGGCTGCATGCATGCATGCATACAAAAGGCCGTGGTGATCGTCGGCTCCTAGTACCAATATTAATGTCTTGTCTTTGATTCTTTAATTAAATATCTCTGTGGTCATGTATATCCAACTTAACATGGTTGATCTCACTAATGATCAGATCGTAATTAAGTAATATTAAAAGCTTTCCTGATAAGGTTATGTTAATAAACCAGAAGGGAACCTTTAGTCAACCTACGTACATGTGTACCGACCACGCGTCGATATGGTCATAATACTTAAGCTAGTCTATAAAGTCGATGAGCATCCTCACGATATACATAAATAGTAGTGTGAAAGATAATATCAAGGCCTACGTACGGAAAATATTGGTGAGCCTTTTGAGGTTTAGAAGGGTGTATCCTATTTGTGTTGCCACCGAAGGCGGCCTTTGTGGAACTTGGAACTGAAAATCTGTTTGCCTTTTAAGGACATAGTCACATGCCCTTGTGTATATACCAACAATATATATATGTATATATATATATATATATATGCACATATCAAGTCAAGAAATGTGATTAGAAGCATGCTTAGTTCAGAATATCTGATATTACCAAGAGAGCTAGTTTGAGAATCCAAGAAAGAGATTCCATTTTTGCTGTGTACAGTGTATTAGTGTATATATGTGTCTTTTATTTTCTCCACAAACCACCTTATACGGGAGCGTGTGTGCGAACAGCATATATATATGTTTTGTGACAAAACTGCCCTCATAAAAGATGTGTCACATATCCCATGATATCCGCCAAAAAGGAAATATCT